ACTTGGAGGATGGTGAATATTTGATTGCCGCTTCTCCTGCCGTTTCTGCTATTACTTTTATTCTATAATATTGTTGGTGCTGCCACCACACCGTCATATTATAAAATATTCGATATATCTTATTATAAGAAAACAATAATATAAAAAATTTCTCTCATATAATAAAAAATACTTAATATATACGTATATATACGTATTTATATTGTATGTGTTGGGATGTTTAAATTATACGAATACGACGATTTTGTTTTTCTCTTCTTGTTCAATATTTTTTTTTTGTTTTTGTTTCTCTTGTTATTTTTTTTTTTACCCCGTACGTTACATGCTATACTTTTATTCTGAAAAAATAAATTTCTATATATGTTTGTTATTTTATTTTCTATATATTATTCCCGTATATCGCATATGATGTATTGTGTGTATAATACGAAGGATACATACATATTTTGTGAATGATGAGAAAACATAACAAGTCAAAATAATAACAATAATAATAATAATGGCAAAAAAAGAAGAACAACAAAATAAAAATTAAAAAAAAAAGAATACATTCATTTAAATATATACAATATGTGTATATATGTATGTGATAAAGAATGTACAATATATGTGAAAATTATTTTATACTCAAAAAAATGTTGATGTGATATTTGTGTATTTTCTTCTGTTCCTTTTCTAGAAATAATCAACATAAAAAAAAAGGAATAAGATAAGTTCAGTTAGTTAAAGTCAGTCATACGACACATACGTGTATAATTTTTTCGTTTTGTTTTTTTATTTTCTCTATATACATACATATATATATATTTATATATATGATATTGATATATACATACATATATGTTCATATACGAGATATATTTATATATGAACGTGTGTAATTAGTATCAATCATACTCGCATAATATCGGTATCTTGTATTTTTTTTTTGAAATTATTTTCAAATATACATACGTAAATACATACTATATTGCTTCTATATTGAATATATTATTATGCATTATGCATATACATATGATATGATAAGTATGTATATCTATAAACATATATTTAGGTGTACATAAAACATATGTGTATATGTGTAAGAAAAAAAGGATATACACATGTATGATAAAAAAAAATTGAATATGAATTGTAACGGTTTAAATATTAAATATAGAAAAAATTAAAACACATTTGTGATGTTACCGTTATTATGAAACGTATATTTTTCGGTTATAAAGAAAGAAAGAAATATTTTTTTTCCTATAATTGAAAATCTTTAAGTAAATGAAATTGGATAAAATAGAAAAAAAAATAATAAATAAAATCGGGAAATATTGCAGTGCATCCATTTTTATTTATGTACAATTTGTGTTGCAAATAATTTAAATTATTTATATATATATATATATATCTACATACCTAAATATACACATACATTACATACTAAAATTGTAATTTATTAATAATTTTTGAAATAAGTAAATAATTTCTTTCATTAATAATTAAAATTAATTTTAAAAAAATTAAATTGGAAATGCAATCAAAAATTAAAAATAAAATTATTAATTAAAAAAAATTTATAGAAATTTTAAGAATTTAATCTTGGAAAATGACATATTTTTAATGTGAAAATTAATTACACAATATTTATAAACGCAATTATTTTTTTATTATAAAATTGAAAGAAAAAAAAATTATTAAATTTAAATGAAATGAGTACAAAAGGAATTAAATAAAACTTAAGAAAGTATAATTAAGTGAAAAATATTGAATTTTAATATTAATATCAGTAAAATTTTAATCTTAGTATAAAAAAAAATAGTAATTAAGATTTAATTAGGATTATTAAGTAAAACGCGTGTATAATAATCAATAATGTTTGAATTAAAAAAAAATTTAATTTAATTCTAAAATCTAATAATTTTCATATAGTGTAACGAAAACAATTTTCAAGTGTGAGAGGGCCTTCTTAATTTTTTTTTTAAAAAAATATTATTAAAAATTTTATTGTTAACTAAAAGACAAATTAAAATATTTTTTGTAGAGTTTTTGAGAATTTTCTAGAATACCAAAAAAAAATTTTTAATTTATTGCTGTTTTTTTTTTAATAGAAAAAATAATATACTTTTTAACTTTAGAAAATTTAATTTTATGTTAAATTTAAATTATTCTTGATTCAATCTAAATTTTGCAAATAAATATTTTTTTTTATTATCTTCATTTTTTATAAAATTTTTTTTTATATTTCTCATAGTTTTCGATTCTGCCATTTGTTCCAAAAAAAAAAAATATTCGATTATAATTTTAAAAGCAGTGCCAAAATTCGAACCATTAATTGTTCGAATATTTTGTTTCTTTGATATTATAACAAAGTTAAATTTATAGATAATGTTTTTAATATTATTTATAATTAGTTAATAAAGTTAAATCTATTTAATTTGAATTAAACTAATTAAATATCTTATAATAAATAAATTTAAATGAAAATGATAATTCTTATATTTATTATATAAGTGCTCTTGATTAAATTCGATATTAAAGAGTAAAAATCAATTTTTTTTAAAATGTAGTTTTGCATAAATTTCCATACAATATTTACAAACAGAAATATTTTATTTTAAAATATAAACATAAATTTGGCCGGTATGAGTAAATCAACTATTAAAAATAAAACTAAAATCTTTTACAATAGGCAACTTATACACAAACTAAAAATTCAAATAAATTAGGTGCAATAATGTGATAAAATTGTTATCACATTTATCAGCTATAATATAGATGAAATTAAATTTTTTGGATCATATATTCCTCAATCAAATGTTTTATGAAATTTTAAAATAGTTGATTCCTCAATAATGTTATCACTTACTTACATCTTCAATATTGGTAAAATTTTAATTATTTTTGCAGCAACTTACAATTTTTGTGCTTACCATATCTTATTATATTAATTTAATTACAAATTCAAAACAAAATCAAAAATTCACTTAACCTGATTTCGGAAAATTTAAATTAATTTAAGGCAAAAAATTATAAAAATTACACATCTATTTCTAAATTTTGAATTTTTCCTTCGTTCTCTACTAAATTTAAAAGAAAGGAAAAAAATCATTTTTATAAGTTACATTAAAAACAATAAAATCAGATTGATGAAGATGAAAATTTGTGTTATTAAATTTAAAATATTTTAATTAACTAAGTGAAATTCCCATCATTCTATCTCCTGGAGAAAAAAAAGTTTTTTAGCAAAAGCGTTGTGTTTGTAACTAACATTTTGACGAAAAACGAGCCTTTCGGATAGAACACCATTAAATTTTTTTATGTTTTCAACTATGATTACTCTTATAGCTAGAAACTTAATAGAAGACCAGATTGAAAGTGCACATAGGAGATAAGTAACAAAAAAATTAATAATTTTACCATTTGTCAATGAAAAATGTGTCACAATGCAAATGTAAGTTAACCCCTTTGTGGTAAGTTAACCACTTACATCTTCATTTCCTATTTCTTTTAAAAGGTTCCTTTATTTATGCTTACCAAATATTGAATTCAGTAAATTATCTATTATTCTTAATTTTCATACATTTAAATCGAAAACGAAAAATTTTGTACATATATCATTTTTAATTAAAATTAAAGCCACTAAAACCATTTAAATTATTTTTGTAACAGATTAAAATTTTTGTTTTTACTTGTAAATATCAGAAAAAATTTTTAATTCTTCATTTAAAATTCGAATTTTAATACCTATACGAAAGTAAATAATCCGTATTATGTATTTGGTTTACCTTTTATTTTTCTAATCTTTATTTACAACGTTCTGAATATGCACGAACGAAATTCCATGCACCTGAAATTAAATCTCAAATATTTAAAGAAAACTAAAATATAAAATTACTTATACTAACAAAAATACCAAAAAAATACCTACATGTCTACATGTTATAATCATTTGAATGAACATTAAACATAGGCAATATCTTTTTCACATAAGTATAAAAATTTGATTTACTAGTTAAATAGTTCCTTTTATTTTATCCAAATATTTTTACTTAGAAAGAGAATCTAGAATATTTAAAAAAGGATCTCACATTATTCTATTGCACTATTTTTCTTTTTTATTGTTATAAGTATATATGTAGTTTTACAATTTGCATATATCCTTTTGTAATTTTTATAACCACTCATTCACATAACGTACATATATATATACATGTGTATGTGTATATAATATGTGTGTTTAAGAGCATGTGTTTCAAGCTATTGTGTCGCCAAGATTTAATTGCCATTTTTCTTGCTTTTTTTTTGAAAAATTTAAACTACAACAATAAATTTAAGGACAATAAAAGAATATATTAAAAAAACTATATATAAATAAAAGAACTTGTCTAACCTGTCCATAATTAGTTATAAGGAATTCACGTATAGCAATTATATTCGCAGGTTGTTTACACATGTAATATATGACATTTTCCAAGAAGAAAAAAAAATTATTGCTCCTTTATTTAAAACAAAAAATAAAAAAAAATTCGAAGAAATTTATTAACTTATTTCTTTGTACTTGTTTTTTTTTGTAATTCACAGGATTTTAAATATCAGTGATAATGTTTAATAGTTTTAAAATCGTACTTCTTAAAAAAGTTGCTACAAAACTATTCGATTTGGATTTTAATTAAAAAAAAAAGAAAATTAATTAAAATGTGAAATTGTAAAAATTTTTATTATTCATTATTTAAAATTGCAAATTTGAAAAAAAACAAAACCAACAAAAAATTTTAAACATTAATTATAGATCTTAAACTTAATCTAGTGTTAAAAAAAAGAAATTAAACGAAAGAAAATGAATAATTTCTGCAATAAATTGAAGGAAAATTTATAAAAAAAAAATATTAAAGTTTTTATTGAAAAATTTTAATTGCAATTTAATTTTAGAAAAATAATTGTGAAAATTGTGAATAAAATAATGAATTTTTTATAATCAATACTCTTATACATATATACCGCTATATATATACATATATTCATAGATTCAGTTTATTTCTAAGGATATTTAAAAATAGAAAAAAAAACGAGAAAGCGGTAAGCACAACTGCCAACATTTAAAGGTAAATTTAACATTTTTCGAAATTTCATCATTCGACATTTTGTTAAAAATTTAATATTCAAAATTTATGGTTTGGCAATAGTATGCATAGGAGACAAGATGCAGAAATTCTGAAGTTTTGTCAACTATGAGTAAATTTATTGTCATTTCAATTTCTGAGTGTTAAATGTCATATTTATTCTAGAAAAATTTTTTAAGTTGAATCATTTTTGTTATTAATCTTATGATTGTACAAAAACATTGTCGTTTTTTGTGATATTTTGTAAAAATTTCGTATAAACAATTTTAGATTTAATACATAAATTGACAGGCATCTAAATTAGAGAAAATTGAAAATCTAAATTACATAGAAAAAGAACATTAGAATGCAAAAACAAAAACTCTTTTTTTTAGCCATTATTTCCTTAAAACTATACAAAACTTTATTCTCAGACAAACCTTCATAGGTCAAAAGTGGTAGCAATAATAAATTAAATAAGCACCACAAATTTTTTCTGTGCGTTTTTAAAGAATGTAAGCAAAATCTGTTTATTTGTTTATTCTTATCTGTCTACCTGCTTGTTTACAAAATTTTGCATACTACTTAATAGAAATACTTCCAAACTTGCAAGGACAAGTGAATTCATTACCATATAAATGTAAGTATATTAAACAAAAAATAATAAAAAGTATGCAATATACTTCCTCTGCACCCTATTCCAGAGTGTTTCAGGTACTTTAAACTGAACTAACAACTGTATTATACTCAAGCACTGGCAAAAGTGAAAAATTCTTAAGGGGGTTAAAATGTCCTCTGTTAAGAAATAAAAATTTAAACAAAATAACAATTTTGGGCAATTGAATTGATTCTTTAAATAGATGACGGATATAAGTATATGTATATGTACACAAATTAATTCAAAGATTTGTTTGAAATATTTGATTGGAGTCTGATTTGCTTTTCAATCAAAAAGAGGCTTGTGACTCTAAACTTTCTTGAAAAATCCCAAACTTTCTCCAGTTATTTGATAATTCATTTACTAATATAATTTAATTTTGTTTGAATTTAAATTTGCTGTGATTTAAAAATTCCTCAACCTCATACATTTCTTCTATTCTTTGAGTTTCATTTAACTAGCAGCATTAATACATAATAAAATAATAAAATCTTATTACGGTAAATATAACTTACCATCTGCTCAATCCACAAGTATAATGTGATTCAGGTGGAAAAAATATCAACTATAGGCATTTGTATTTCAACAAAATACAAGTTGCAGTTATTGTTGTTATAAATAAGTTTTAGCTACCATGTACTGTACTTTACATAAATGCATTTTTACTTCAAACTAAAATACCTATGTTATCTACACACAAGTACTGATAATACACTCTTCTTAGCATATGTAAAAGTAAATAAGCTGGCTTAGTTTCTTACTGTGCTCGCCCTAATTTTTGAGCGAAACCCTTCTGATATCAAAACTAATTCCAACAATAGGCTTATTAATACATTTTAATGTATACTAAATAGTTCAATTTTACTTAGTCAAATTAAAATATGTATATAAATACACACATATATAAAATTTAATATTCAAATAATAATATGATTAAATTCATCTAAAATTAAAAGCACCGACGTTCAATTTTTTATCAACTATTACATGCAATTACTAGACCAACTTGAATTGTTTTCTGAAATGCGGCTTTAAATCCCGAAATTCTTAGTTACTTTTACGATTATGTGTCCAAATGTTCAATATCATGAACTTGAAATAAATCTACTCACACCGATCTGAATTCCAATTATTCGTTGCAATATTTTAGAAGTTTTAAGAAATTAACATTATTATTTTCTTTATTAGATCAAATTTTTTTCCCGACACATAAAAAATCACATTAAGTTTGCAAAATTTCTTTATTTTCATCAACAAATTTAACAATAATTTCAATTTTTGAACATTAGTTACTAGTAATGAAAATTAGACCAAAAATAACATTCAATCCTTTAGTATAAATCGATAGGAAAAATTTTAATGTCAACTTAAACTGACCATTGATATAGGAAAAAATCAATTTTTTCAAAAAAAAAAAAAACGAAAAAAAGTTTACAGAAAATTTAATGATACAAAAGATAATGGAGCCAAAAGATGAGCTAAAAAAGCTTCGCTCGTAAGTTTCATTCACAATAAGATCTTGCTGAGAAACTGGTTTTCTCCAGAAGTAAATTTTTGCCTACCTCTTACGTAATGAAGGTATATTTTTGGCACCTTATTGTTAAGCGCAAAAAACTAACGTTAATATCGAATAAATTTTTCTTCCTAAATATATGCAATAACTATGTGTAAATAATAATTTGATATATTAATACCAATAGCTTAGTAAAAAACAACCTTAACAACGTTTCCATTATTTTATATTTTTCCTACCAATTGAGAAATCAATTTTTTCTACCCACTAAAATAATTCACCAATAAACGCACATACATACCTATTTCAACCAAACTAATAACATATTTTACAAATCTTAGTATATTTTATATACATATGACAATTTGGCGAATTTCGAAATATCAACTATTTGACAAAATTTTATCTTTTTAAAGTATTTAAGAGCAGCTTATTTTGCTATATAACATCACATTTAACTAATTGCTGATGCCAAACAATTCAATCTTCATATCCATATAATAACTGATGTATATATATATATATATATATATATATATGCGCAGTTTATATATATTAGAAAATACATACATTATTATGTTCATTGAAGGCTTTAATTATTTTTTGCATTATACTTTTCATTGATTTTTAGATTATTACAATTTCAAAAAAGAAGTTCGAATCAATCAAAATATTTAAGATAAAATAATTTCATTATTAATTGATTCAATAAATTTTCATGAAGAAATTTCACCCTTCCATATTATATAAATTGCATTATACAAAATTTGTTTGATACAATGATCAACCTACTCAAATTCAAATATGTACATATAAAAAAATTACAATACTTCGAATATCCTATATAGAGAGGAATAAATTTGTACATCCTATATAGAGGAATTGTTTGCTTTTTCTTTCAAAGTATGTAAGTATGTGTTGTTACAAATAAATTAGATAGAAAATTTTAAAGTAATAACCGAACAATAAAATTATTATTAAAGAAATCAAATAGCAAAGAACAGAAGAAAAAGCAAGGTGTACGAAAAATCAAAAAATAAATAAAAATAATTTTATAATTTCTTTTTTCTTCTTCTTCTTCATACATACACTTGAATTTAATTCTATTGTTTAATCCTTGAAGGAATAAATATAAGAAGTGTGTTTATTCTTTAAATATACATAATAATATGAATGGTATTATTTATATATGTACTTCACTCATGATGAATTGAAAATTTACTCTCCATCCATTTGAATTTCATGTTCTCAAAATAATTTTGTTCCAAATTGAAGTTGAAATCTTTAAATAGCAGGATAAAAAGAAATTTAAAGAAATTGCGAATGCATAAACATAAAAATTATAAATATGTATATGTGTGTATATATAAAGAAGATAAATTTTCTGCCAAAAAAATTCTGTTTTTTTTTTAACAGCAGGAAAAAAAACAAAAAATAACAGCAAAATGAAAATTTCAACTCCATAAATTCAAGGAAAATCAAATAAAAAAAATCTTTATTTTTATTTTGTCTTCCTTCATATACAAAAGATCTTCTATACCTAGAAAAAGTACAAGGTACCAAGTATATATTATACGTATATGTAAATAATCTAAGTAATCATCATTATAAATACTTACACACTAAGTTTTAATATCCAACAACAAAAAACGTCGTCAGTACCATTATCAAAAATTAAAAAATAAAAAACTCAAATTTTTTGGTTATTCTCACGTGAATATACTTGCAATTTTTTTTTTTGTTTTTTTGTTTTTGCTTTTCATATTATCATCGTAAAAACGAAATCATATCATCGGAGCATCGCATTCAATTGAAACTAAAAAAAATAATCAAATTGAAAAAAAACATAAAAGAAAAATATCTATAAGTTTGTTGAGTTGAAATTACCAAAAAGAAAGTCTATGATATTCAAGGACAGAAATTCCCTTTAAACAAAAAGAAGAAATAGAAAAAATAATATTTTTACCTAGAAAACCGCCACTGCTGCCGTCGCCCTACCTCACTATTCCAAATCAACTTCAAAATTTGATTTTTCGGATCATAACCCGTGTATAACGTACGAAATTAGTACAAAGGTACACAAAAAACAAAACAAAAACGCATCAAACTTCAACTTAACATTTCTTTAAAAAACGGAATATTTTATTTCACTTTTTTATAGCAAGTCGATAATATAAGGAAGGAGGAAGATAAACCTACCTATAATCATATGTATAGAGAGATTTATGTGCATAAAAATTCCCATTAGATAACAACGAATAAATTCATCATCATTACATTGTTCTTATGTTCATTATCAGTAAGCAGAAAGAGAAAAGAGAGTAGATGGAGGAAGAGAATGAGAAGTTATAAATAATTGTTTAAATTTTTCAAAAAAAAAAAAAAAGTAATAAGACAACAGTAACTGTGAATGTACTGAGTATGTACACAATGTACACATTTGTATACACACGTTTATAATATTTAAGAAGTGTGGATTGGGGATTGATGAAAAAATTTCTGTATTACTTAACATACATACATGCATGCATAATTATCACGTTAATTAGTTTGTGAGATTGGTTTAAATGTTATATTTAAAAGTTAAATGTAAACAATTAAAGTAAACCAGAGACATAAAAAAGACAAAAACAAAAAGCAAACCGAAACATCTGAGCAATGCATAAAGGTTTTGTAATTTTTTTCGGAAGAAAAACTTAAACATTAAAAAATGTGCTTTTTAAAGATAAAAAAAAATCGTGAATTTTCTTTTCTTTTCTTTTTTTTTTGCAATTATTCTAAGTGACACAAAAACACGTAACTTTAATTATTTAACGATTTAATAGAAGTCACCTGAATGTATAATGTTGCACAATATAATGGGGTACCAATATGTATGTATGTAGTATGCTTGTATATTTTTCTCTTTTCCTTAAAGTTATAAGCATCGAATACAAAACTAGCAATATATTTTCTTTATAAATAACACTAACTCGCAGAATTTGTTTACCCCTTTCTTTTACTATCTGAATTGTTCAGAATTTGTTAAAAAGGTTTGTAAGTAGTATTAAGTAATAAGTAAAGTATAAAGTTCCCTGGATTGTGCGTTTATTTTTAATTTTAAATATAAAACAATAACGTATTAAATTTGTCAAATTCGGAAATCATTTAATTCGAAAATTTTAAGCATTTTCATCATAACTCTATAGCTCAGTCAGTAGATCACCTATTTAGAAAGGTTCGACTGTAACTGCTTAGTTCGACTTCTTTCCAAGGAGAAGTTTTGAGATTAGTTCTGGCTTCTATGCCGTGCGGCTCTTCTCTATGGAGAAGATCATCAGGTGTATAAAGAAACTATCTTTCTTATTGAAATTAAAATTTTAATTTTTTTAAAAATAAAGTATAAACTTTATACTCAAAATTAACATTTTTTATTTACATGAAATTCTTTACGATTATTTATACTCAATATCTTTTTTATTGCCAATACACAGCAGCCCAGCGAATATCATTTTTTGATACAAATGTCCTTTTTAACTTGCAATATGTACTTTATAAGTTCGTTTCATTAACTTTAAGGTTAGTTAAGGGTTAAAAAATATTTTTTTTCAATGTATTATGTAGCTAAAGAAAAGACGAGCAAAAGTTATAAGTTCGATTAATTCCCGAAAGAATATTGAAGTCTCAAATCACATATTCGTTGAGAATAAATTATTCATAATATACAAATTTGATTTTACAGATACGAATTTTAAAGCTTTTATAATGTTTGCCTCTAAAATATTTAGTGACAACAAAATTTTTTGAAATACATATCATATACATATATGCCCTGACATTTTTAGTTGAATTTAATTCTGTAATTTATTTATTGCAGTAGTTAATAGTAAATTAATTTACAAGCACAATTGTTAATTGTTTTATATGTAAATTAATTTATTGCTTGGGAATTATGTGTATTTTAATAATAGTTGTATTAAGTATGTATAAATTAATAAGGTGTTCTGTATTGGAACTAATGTTATTCCTTAGACATTTACTAAAATTTTACCAAACGTTTACGTTAAATATCTACTAATAACAATTTGAGGGATTATCATATTATCGAAGCGTTTGCAAATATTTCACGATTCTCTCACTAGAAGCAATGCTAAAAGTACAACACATGAACTTAAAGCCATGGCTTGTGTATTATAAGCATCAGAAGTACTGCCCTTCCTAATTCTCAAAAATTAAAAATCAAATTTAAAATTGATAATTTTAAAGCTTCTATTCAACGGACCGAAAATATCACATTAAGCCAGTTATAATAACAGTCATTGCTAAAAATATTAAGAATAAATGATTCTGTATAAACATACTATAAAATGTTATAAAAAATTTGTCATAGATTTTTGAAAAAGAATGTGACTAATGTTCAAAAAAGAGTATTTCTGTGGTTTTCAGAAAAATATTGTTAATTTAAAAAATGTTGTTTGAAGCTAAAATCTGATTGTCAAACAAACTGTCAAACGTGACTGATTACATATTATATAAAATTTATATTCATAATATTTAACAATATCTTATATTCTTGTTGGCATTATTATTAATAATATTTTGAACAATAGTGGTATTGTTATACCCATATAAAAATAATATTTATTTTATGTATTTCAAACAATTGCAATTACAAATGGGTTTTAAGTTAATATTTTCCTTTATTTTTTTTTACAGATGAAACTCTAAATATTTTATGAAAAAAATATTGAAGTTACTATTGATTTAGAAAGGTCAGTTGGAAAATATTTATCATATTACACAGTTCCAAATGGAGAAATTCGCTAAAAGTTTAGAAACCATGACAGCGACACAAGATCATTATAGTCTCCGGTGGAATAATCATCAAAATCATATATTAAGAGCGTTTGATACTCTGCTACAGACAAAAGCTCTAGTAGATGTTACATTAGTATGTGCTGAAACGAGTATACAAGCTCATAAAATGGTTTTGTCAGCATGTTCACCATTCTTTCAGCGTGTGTTTGCTGAAACACCATGTAAACATCCAGTTATAGTTTTAAAAGATTTCCGAGGATGGGTTGTTCAAGCAATTGTTGATTTTATGTATCGTGGTGAAATTTCTGTGCCACAAGAGCGTCTTCAAACCTTAATACAAGCTGGCGAATCACTACAGGTGCGGGGGTTAGTTGAAAATAATGTACCAGAAAACAACCCAACGCCTGCTGCTTCACCGGATGATTTTGGTATGTTAGATACATCATTGCTATCATCAGAATATGGTCGGTGTTCAAGTAGCTTTGACGAAGAATGTCCAACAATGGTTAATAACAGTGGTTCAAAAATAATGCTCTCACAACATATGTTCTCTGCAGCAGCGATGGCTGTTGCAGCTTCAGCATCAGCATCAGCAACTGCAAATACTCCAGAAACAAATAGAGAATCATCAACACAATTGAATAGTTCAAGATCAGATTTATGTACATCACCAATGCCAAGAAGAAAACAAGCACGACCAAGAAGAAGGTCTGGCGAATGTCCTGTACCAGATTTAAACACAAATAGTAAACCAAATACTCCGGTGCCAGAAAACAACCCGGCAGGTGATGAGCCTTTAGAAAATGATAATGATGAAGACGAAGAAGAAGCAGAAATAGAAGAAATTGAAGATGAAATTGAAGATGTTGAAGATCATGTTGAAGCTATCAAAATCGAAGTAGATAAACATCGAAATTTAGTCGAAAATACCGAATCAGAAAAGAAAACGTCTGACCATGAAACAACCCCAACGGAAAATGTTGAAAATGTAATTGATGATAACGTTATAAACTTAAGTGAACCAGAAAGGCCGCCTGAAGAAATTAGTGACGAAATCAACCTAAATTTGAATAAGAGGCAAAGTTGTAGTCCTTTAGATGGTCCCGAAAATTTGTGTACAAAAAAGAAAAAATCCGACGACGAGGTAGAGGCGGAAACGAATAATGACGTTAATTCAATAAAATGCCCTGAAAATGATGGAAAGGAGCAGAATGAACAAAAACAGAAAGAGGATAGTGCTAACAATAACACGCCAAATAACAATCGAATTGTATTATCTTTAAAAGATATTCGACATTTGAATAAACAAGGAACTGTTCCACCTAGATCTCCTCCCAATCCATTTCAACCGCCACCTGATTTAATAAGACCACCGTCACATCATCGTGAACCACATTTACGCGATCACAGCCGAGATAGTATGAAAAACGACAATTTAGATATGCTTCGTAATCCAATGGAATCAATTCCAGATCACGGTAGTCCTTTAAATTTTGACCATATGGATTTATCCATGGCTGCAGCAGCAGCAGCTGCTGCAGCACACCATCATCAAAATCAAATGAATTCAAACCATTTATTAGGTCCTGGAGGACCACATCACCATCCATTACCACCACCTCCACCACATCATCATCGTGGTCAATTAGAACGTTTAGAAGAAAGTTTAGCCAACCGTTTAAATAAAGAATTTGCACCAAGCTCACCTATGAGTTTACCACCGCATTTTAATCCGTCAGATGGACCACCACATCCACCATCACCATTACCTTTTCCTGGAATGTCATCGGCTTTAACACTTACACCACCTCACAGTAAGTAATAACTAATTTTTACACTTTTTTAATTCAGTTTCAAGTTAAAAATGCTTTAATTTAGAGAAAATTTCAAAACAATTGATGAAATGTTTTAATATTACAAAATTAAATGATCTAAAAAAAGAACAAAATAAAACAAAACCAGGGTGTGTTAATTTGGGTATTTTTTTATTTTCCATGGGGCACTGGGTGACTAGGCTTTGGATAACATATTAAAATATTATACAAATGTTGAACGTTTTAACCAAATGTTTATTTCTTTTTTTATTACTTAAAATGCAAAAAATCAATGGCTGCAAAAGAAATATATTTAAAGAAGAGTGCATTGAAAAACTGTATAGATTTTTTTATTTACATTCAAAAAAAGACGAGTAAAAAATATCTTTTGGATATTCTAACAGAATACAGGGATTTCAATTTTGAAACTACTCAGTTCAAGAGAAATGCTAATTAAATTTCAAATAATAATCTTCGAAGTACTCAATAAACTTATGAAAAAGTTCCTCAAATGAAACTTAATTAGTTCTCATTTTATCAGTATTATTAAATTCATGCTATAAGACTTTCATTCTATCTTAATGCCTTATTGTAGCGTTTTAAGAAATTTTAAAGAAAGCGGCAAACTGCATGAACAATTATTTTTTAATTAATTTGGCAAAAAGACATGTTGCTTTAGTTTACATGCTATTAATTAAATTTAATAGACAATCAGCCTTCACTCTTATTTTAAAATGTTCCTAATGTATATTAAGAACATCGGATGCACTATCTTGCCCATTGATCCCCCAATATTGTGTAGAGCTCTAAAATTTCTACAAATTCTAGCTTTTTCTATTTGAAATATAATTACAATTTAAAATGATACTAAGCCTGTATAGCGATAGACTATATTATTTATGTTCATAAACATATGTTGCTGATATATTTTGTTCAGAAACATTGCTAAAAAGTCAGCAATATAATGAAATTGTTACGAGTATCGCAATTAAGTCATATTTGTTTTGCTCATAGAATTGTTAAAAATACATTGCAAGAACATTATGCTTTTGCAGTATTGCATTTATTTGTATTCATTTATTTTGTAGAATTAATTTATAAATTCTTTTAAATATTATGAACACATGCACCGCAATTATAAATTAAAATCCAAACAAAAGTAAAAGAAGTCTGTATACGTACATTTATATGGATATATGTATGTATATTTATGTACATGTGCTTAAAAACCAACTTTATTCTATCTCACATACGGATATATTGTTTTTTTTCAGTTTTAAATTGGGTTCGGCCACATTTATTCATGAAATATAAACTGAATATTTACAAGAGAGTTTTTGTAGCCTTAGGCTTTTAATTGTTCTTTGAAACCTCTCCAATCACAATAAAAATAATAAATAGCATCGATGAAATATTTTTATGTATGTATATTTTGTATAGATGCATATTAAAGCCAAATATATCATGCAAATGTGTGTGTATATGTGAAATTTGAATCTTGATCAGCGTTCCCACTTGGATACAATTGTATCCATTTGGATACATTTTTTGCTTTAAATTTAACTTGGATACAAAGATACTCAAATTTGCTAAAATGCCGAAATTGGCTACATTTCAAAATTTTGCTGAAATATGGATACATTTATTGTCTAAACACTAAATAAATGTTACAAAACTGTTAAAATGGTGCTAATATTAAAACGCGTAATTGCTTTATCTTTCAAAAGTGTTATTTGCTGGCATTTCTAAGCAGATTTTCGAGTTTACTAGAAGAAAGTAAGAAATCTGCTTTATTAAATGAGTACTGCCTCTTCCTGTATTCAAATCTAGAACATTTAGACAAGAACGTACCAGAAATATTTTGGTGTAAGCTAGTTGTAATAGAAAATGCATTGGCTGTACATATTTTTTTAAATTTTTCCGTTTTAATGGTGAAATGTCTTTAGCACATAATTCAACTACTACAGAAGGCATATATGCATATGTTTTTTCTGACCTTAACTTTCACATTTAAAATATAATAGAAGTTGTATATGATTTCTTAAAGAATTTACTATAAATAAAAAAACCAACAATAGGACGGCTTGGTATAAAAATTCTACTTTATGAGTTTGGATACATTATGGATACATTTTTTCCTTGAAATTGGATACATTTTGTTTTTACCAAGTGGGAACACTGATCTTGATTTAATTTTTTTTCATATTAACAATCAGGACTTAGAAAACCTGTATAAAAAATATCAATTGCAATATAAAATCGAAATTCCATGATAAAAATAAAGAAATCTTAAATTATGAATAAAAAATTATCATAAACGAGTTTTGCTTTTGTTTTTTCAATTCATGTCCGACCCCTAAAATTTTCTTTCCATTTCAATCAGAATTAAAAACAAAATAAACTTTCAATTTCACAAATTATAAAATGCAAAATTGCGCTATTATATAAAGTCTTTAAACAATTCAATATGATGAGTTCAAGAAAAAAAGGAAAACAAAGAAAAATATCAGGCCTTAAGCATTTTATTTAAAAAAAAATTATTAGCGTAAGGAAATTTAATAATGTTTTAAAATAAAAATGTGTCTGTAGGACACAAGTTTCTTTTAGTTTCATTCTATAGGTTGTTATAATTTCCAAATTATTATTATTTTATAAGATATTCATTTTTGATTCTAAATCTGAAAAAAAAATATAAAGGACAAACTAATAAAAAGTGAAAGGAAAAAATTAATCATCAATCAAACCTTTGAAAAAAACGAAATGTTGATCAATTGATCAACATTTGATTGCAGTTAATTCTTTATCTATTTAACATTACTAACAATTAAACGTAATAATAAGAATGCAGTCGTAACAGCGACTTATTGTCAAAATGGCAATACAAGCTCAAATTATATCTCAGGGTGGCCTCTTCGCATTTAATTCCAAACACAAAAGCACTACGAACCTACAATACTCATAACTGTGTATATAACTATATTATATATTAAATAATATGAAGGTTTAACAGATAGCTTTACATTTTTACTTCAATATAACAGCTTTTCCATATATGTATTAATTTATGTAAATATTCATGAACTCTGCTGATAAGGAATATATTTGGCACGATTTGAATTGTCTTCTTGCCCTTATTATAACATATTCTTCTAGCTCTAGATTCGGTCATGTGCTTGCACTTCTTCAAATTCTAGAATGCCATGTGTATTAACTAAAAAAAAATAATCACTAATCAATTGGTATTGAAAATAAAGCTCAACCTATCAAAAAAAAAAATAATTTAATAATGATTTTAAAAAAATCGAATCGAATGGTTGATTTTCCTCATATATTCAACAATAATTTGATTTCATATGTCTCAAAAAAATAAATAATTCAACATCAAAATTAAATTTCAAATTTAATAATGAGCTTCCCATTTTCTCTTTTCAAGTACACAGTGAAAAACGAAACATCATAACATTGGCGTTCTTCATCAATTTTAAAGAGTTCTGCACAATAAGAAAACAAAAGCAAAGTATATTCCTTCTTTATACATAACATTCAAGAATGTTTATTTTTTTCACATAGAATTTAATAGATGAAAAATAAAAAAAAAAATAAAATAAATTATTTATCCTTATTTTTTCATATGAACACAAGGATTATTATTTCCTTTACGCGTCTTCAAATAGAACAGAAACAAAAAAAAATACCATAGCAGTCGTAACTTCTTAACCCACTTCTAGTGAACGTCTCAAATTTTTTCGTTTTGTTTTGTTTTGTCAAAACTGCTTTACGCAAAACAAAATAAAATGTATGGAAAAACAATGTTCTTATGCTGTTGCCTTCAATTTTCGTCTTATACTTCCTTCAGTAAAATAAAGAAAAAAATAGAAAAAAATAAAATTTTGTACAAAAAAAAAAATAAAAAAGAACGAAAAAAAAAAATGCAAGAAACCATACACACACACGCATTCCCACTGAATTGTTATAGATTGAGTTTATATGCAAAATACTTACATAGTATATACATATATTGTACAAATATAGTGGCATTATTTTCACAAGTTGCATCGTTACATTAAAATCAAATCAAACAAGACTTTACCGCAAAAAAAAGTTTACAGTGACAGTAGGAAACATAAAAACAAAAATTAAGAAAAAAAAAAAAATTCCGCTATTTAATTTTTTTTTCTCGTTTTAATTTCTCTATATTTACTTCACATAACCTTTGCAAGATTTGCGATACAAACTTTCATACACATATCGAAAAAAAATTAAGTTGAGTCAAACAAATGTTTTTTAAGTAGGACTTTTTCCTTCACATTGCATACATTTAAGATGAAAACAAAAAAAAAGAAAGACGCGTATATGCTCTTATTCAAGGGTTAGTTGCGTGAGTTAAAACAAATAATTATATATTTTGATCGTATGGCATTTACTGTTAGCTGTCTGCATTTATAGAAATTAGGAAAAGCTCCCAGCTTCGGTGATATAAGGTGGCAAAAATTCGAATTTAACAAATTTTGAGAGGCGATAACTTGAGAGGAAGTGGAGATAAAAAAAATTTTTCGTTAGTATCCATTTGTTAATATCTCCGGCATAGAAGAAAAACGATATCAAAAATTTAATATAATTTTAATGGTAATTTTGTTTTTTTAAAGTTCAACTATGCTATAAAGCGCTAGAAGAAGCCAACCATTACTTTTCTACGTTTATAAAACTTAAAAATGTTTGTAGTTTTGTTTTGTTACAATAAATGTGGGCTTGTCAACAATTGGCATTTTTATAGAATTATATTTTTAATAGAACTTTGGGGGGGGGGGCAGATAGATAAAAATCTGCTTGTACGGAAATAAGTTTTTAGTAAACATCTATTCATATGTTGAATTTCAGTTGTTTACCTTAAAAGGTGTAGAAGTTTTGCAAGCATGTCCACAGATGGACGGACATAGTGAAACTAATAAGCACTCTTTTTCAAAAATTTTTTAGAAAAGTGCTAAAAAGGGGCACAAAAT